ATTATATATTATGTCTGTTTCAGCCCCCTCCTCCTGCAGCCACATACAACACAGTGACAGTAGTGCACGCCCCACCTCCTCCACAGCAGAAACAGAAGGTGATTGACTGTGTTTATTTATCTACTCTAGAATTACAAAGTTCTATCTGCTCAGTACCTAGTTTTGAGAAATTTGATTTTAAACTTTTCTCAGTTACACAACATGTCAAGCTTTTTCAAGAATCAAATGCAGCTCTTTGCTTATATCTTGATATTGACTCCGAATAAGCTAACGATTTTTATAGAGCAGTTAGAATATTTGGTCTCTGACCTTATGGTCTTAGTAACTCAAAACGGCCGAAATATTTCGGATAGAACGTTGTAATTCTAAGGTAGTGATGTATATCGGAGCCCTGAAAGCAAAATTTATGGGAACGTGAAAAAAAACCTGTTTCATTCTGTAAAAAATATTACAGTGGAATCCTATTTTAACTAGAGGGAGGGGACTGGTGGGAAATATCTGTTATTGCAGGATTCTCGTTATAAGGGATCAGTAATAAATTCAAGGGAAATAATAAAGTAAGCCTAATCTATGAGTTTGGTGTTCTGTTTATTTCTTGTTATCTCCCCTGATGATGATTTTGTTCAACATGGCCTCTTGGTCTTATTTGATCGAAAATCGAATCACATTTCTTTCTCTAGCGCTAGGGATGTTGACTGCTCGGCGTTGGCAATCAGAAAGAAAGGTCTGTAGACTGATATTCCCGCTGTGTTGTCCCCCACCCTACCACTCCCTGTGGTGCGTTCCCTCTGCTTGCGCACATTGGGCAGGCCTATACACCAAACCCTGCACACATTACATATTTGCTCCATCTGTCACAGCACTTTGACCTCTCCATCCCATTACGGAGAAGTGAGAGGCATGGTGGGCCTAGATAATCTATGCTAGGCTGGCCTATCACGCGATGCGTTCTTCTTACATCTGCGCATACCACACCTTTCCCACTCTTTCGCTCCGGCCTTCATTGTTGACACACGTGGCCACTTCCATTCTTTGTTTCACTAGATCACCAACAAGTTTCTCAACTGGCGAGGTTTTACATATGATGTAATTGGCCTATGCAGTGTGCTCAGTAGCAGCAATATTCTGCTATAACTGACTCGTGTGTGTCTGATTGCAATATTTTATTTACAAAGATAAAGTAGGGAAAAAATGGGGTTTTTGAATAGTGTCTTTATAACAGACTTCTCGTTATTTCTGGACGCGTTTTAAGTGGACTCCTCTGTACCTATATAATGTATTTTTTCATGCCTGTTTCTACATTTAGAATTTGAATTTTGACTAAGTATTTCTTGAGCACATGCGACCAATACCACTTTCCTCCTTCTTCGTGACACTCAGGTTTCTCTGTATTGAGCTTAAATTTAGTAAATGCAGAGAAGTGTGTGTAAATGGTTTGTTGGGAGTTACTTGGCGAGTGTCCCACATCTTGACCTGCTGCATGAGTAGTGTTTGTT